TTTTTTTAATTAAAAAGAAAAACTGAACTTTATCACAATGAAAATTGTTTATGTATCAAAGGAAATAGACAAATAACAGAATGGCAGGAGACGTTTGCAAATCAGGTATCTGACAAGGGAATTTGTTTCCAGAAAACAGAAAGAACTTTTACAACTAGGCAATAAAGAGTCAAACTATCCAATTTTAAAATGGGCAAGAAGATATATGAATATTTTCACCAAAAATAAATAAATAAACAAATGAGAGTGAGGGTACTGAGAGATTGGAACCCTCATTTGCTGCTGGTGGGTCTCTAAATACGCACAATCATTGTGGAAAACAATATGGCACTGCCTCAAACAACTGGACTAGAAATTCCATGCGATCCAGTAATACCTCTGCTGGGTGTGCCCTAAAGAAGAGCCATAGCGCAGACATATATATGTACTCCCATGCTCCTCACAGCACTGTCCTCACCAGCAGGAAGTTAGAAACAGCCCAGATGCCCACCGGTAGACGAACGGTTAAAGAAATGGTACACAAGCACAATGGAATACTATGCATCCCTAAAAAATAGTGATGAAACCACAAAACCCCTCTGACATGGATGCCCTTGGAGAAGATTATGCTGAGCGAAGGAAGTCAGATCACAAAAGGACACATGTTGTACAGGACCACCACTCACTTCCATCCAGTCAAGTCCGACCCACAGGCACAGAGTGGTCATCGGATAAGAAATGTTTGTAGAGTGACAGCGAAGAACACACACACATGCCTCCTCCTGGATGGGCGGGAACTAGCTCTGGAGATGGCATGTATTCACATCCAGACTTCACCATGTACTAAATGTGTAACGGTGGGCAACTTATTCTACTATAAGTAACTGTGCCTGTTTCCTCATCTAAACCTGCAGATCCTTGCACCTGACGCATGAAGGAATATATGTAATCATCAGAAGTCATATACATATTGAGTACTAAAATAGTAGTTAGCACTTATTTATACCGCTAAAGAACAATCAAACCAGATCCAATTTCCTGGCAGCCTTGTCAACACCGGGGGAGAAAAGGACTTCAGTTGCCCACCCAGGCAAAGCCCCACCTCTCTCTCATTGCTGAGTGGAGACTGACTCATAGAGACAGAATAGATCAGAGCAGAACCGACCCCCAGGAGTTTCTAAGACTATAACTCCTTTTTATTTATTTTTTGGCCAGCAGGCCAGTGAGCAAAAGAACAGAGCAGGTTTAGAAGTATAAGTAACCTTTTATAGGAAGGAAAAAAATCCCCTTGCCATCGACTCATTCTGCACTCAGAGTAATCCTACAGGACAGAGCACCGCTACACCTGGGAGTTATTTTCCAGGGTTATGCGTCTTCCGGAAGCAGACTGCCTTATCTTTCTCCTGTGGAGTGGCTAGTGGGTTCAAACTGCTGACCTTTCAGTGAGCAGCAGAGCACAGAGCCAGAGCCACCAGGGTTCCTTCCAACATGAGAGGAGGGTCTACAGTACTCTGCGGGACCAGTCAAGTAAAGACCCTATCCAAAAGGCAGCGTGAATCACTGACGTGATGTGACCAGGATGGTTTCAACTGTCTTTAAAAACTACTTTGTCGAAGGTAAACAAGCAGTCAAGTAGCTCAGAAGCAACAAAGCCCACATGGAAGTAGCACACCAGCCTGCATGATCATGAGGTGTTGAAGGGATCAGGTATCTGGCACCAAAGAACAAAAAATCCTATCACTGTGAATGGGGGGAATGTGGAGTGGGGAGCCAAAGTCCATCTGTAGGCAATTGGACATTCCCTTACAGAAGGGTCACAGGGAGGAGACGAGCTAGTCAGGGTGCAGTGTAGCAACTATGAAACATACAACTTTCCTCCAGTTCCTAAATGCTTCCTCCCCACCCATGATCATGATTTCGGGACCATGATCCCAATTCTACCTTAAAAATCTGGCTAGACCAGAGGAGGTACACCGGTACAGATAGGAACTGGAAACAAGGGAATCCAGGGCGGATGAGCCCTTTAGGACCAATGGTGAGAGTAGTGATACCAGGAGGGTGGAGGGAGGGTGGGGTGGAAAGGGGGAACCAATTACAGGGATCTACATATGACCTCCTCCCTGGGGGACAGACAACAGAAAAGTGGGTGAAGGGAGATGTCGGACAGTGTAAGGTAAGATAAGAAAATAATTTATAAATTATCAAGGGTTCATGGTGGGGGGAGTGGGGAGGAAGGAGGAAAAATGAGGAGTTGATGCCAAGGGCTTAAGTGGAGAGCAAATGTTTTGAGAATGATGAGGGCAACAAATGTACAAATGTGCTTGACACAATGGATGGATCTATGGATTGTGATAAGAGTTGTATGAGACCCAAGAAAGGCGGTTGGAGTTGCTTGCTCACAGGACTGTCGACCAGCCGAGGTTAAAATGGTTAAAAAGTATACTGATACATTCCTATAATGGCCACTGCTCAGTCACCCCACCAAATCACAAAAGCAAACAAATTTTCCATCCCAAATCACTAATGAGCATGAGTCTTTGATAATGGTGAAGAAACTTTTTGCTACTTCTGTTTCCAGTATAACATATGTAAGGGGCCTATTTCCAGAGAGTTCTTATGGAGAATGCCATTTAGATGACCTCAATTTAAAAATCCTCTGAGAAGATAAAAAATGCCCCGGGTCACTGCATTTTATCAAATGGATCCAAGGTTGTTTTGATGCGCTGGAAAAGAAATATGTAAGAATGTTATAAAATGTGTACACCAGGAAAAACAAAGTTGTATGAGAACCCAATAAAACAATTTAAAAAAATTCTTTGTCATCTCACAGAGCTATTTGGGAATTGTTCATATAACATTTTTAGAAAAACAAAGTTACCAGGATTTTTCAGTGGTTGATTTTTTTAAAGAAGTAGACCTACAGGCCTTTCATCAAGGTGCCTCTGGGTGGACTCAAACAGCCAACCTTCTGGTTATCAAGGGAGCACATTAGTCACCTGCGTCACCCAGGGAATAAGTGCTTATTTTCTGAGATGACTTGTTACTAAAGACTCCAAGTCCATTTCAATGTTACTTTTCCTTTAAAAAAAAAAAAAGCCGAAAAACACGCTTCCACCCTCTTCTCCCTTTCTCAGTGTCTCTGCCATCCTGAGCGTGGTGTTGCTCCGACTTCACCATGTCATCTCATAAGACTTTTAGGATCAAGAGATTCCTGGCCAAGAAACAGAAACAGAATCGGCCCATTCCCCAATGGATTCGAATGAAAACCGGTAATAAAATCAGGTACAACTCCAAGAGAAGACATTGGAGAAGAACCAAGCTGGGTCTGTAAGGAGCCCCCTGAGGGAGGCACGCATGACCGCATTTCCCCACTCTCAAATCATGTTGTATTGCATTAAGACTTTTGTCCCCATCTGATCAAATGATCTTTTATTGGCAAATCTGATTTATTCCTTGTTTTTTTTTTTTTGCTTCCTCATCAAGTCTAACAATAAATAATGTAAGGCTGTTGGTTTGAAAAAAAAAAAAAAAGCCTTCCAACAGCTTTATTGGCATATCATTCACATATCATACAATTTAGTAATTCAATCACTTTAACACTTGACCAGAGCAGAAAGCCAGGCTTTCTGCCTAGAGGCAGCTGGTAGTTTTGAACTGCTGACCTTGTGGTTTGCAATGCAACCCCTGTGCCTCCAGGGATCATAAAGGGGGCCCAAAGGGAGGCTTCATTAGACAGAGATTCCATAATCTGCTAATAATTCACTTCTCTAAAATTCTATACAAGCAGAAACTATTTACATCAATTTATGAATTGAAGTGACTCAAAAGTGAAGTTCAGCTCACTTCATGGGGTGAAGCGCCCTTGTAGTGTTCAAAACCACCAGCCGCTTGGAGGGAGAAAGAGAGGCTTTTCCACTCCTTTAAAAATATACAATCTTGGAAGCCCACAATGGGCAGTTCCACATGCCCTATAGGGTGGCTATGAGTTGAAATTGAGGGTTTTGTTTTGGTTTAGTTTTAGTTCAGAAGGGTGGGCCATCAGCTACCTTGTAAAAGAAGTTAGAATTGAATTTTAGAATAGGTTGGAAGTCAAAATAGTGACTCCACTACTTATTAGTTGGGTGAAAGTAAGTAAGCTATTTAACCTGTGAGTTCGGCTACCACAAACGTTAATCGTGGATAACAATAACTTCCATATAATGTGAATCTTGAGATTTAAATGGCAGTGGCATGGAAAACTCCGACCAGCATCAAGTTGTAACAGAGGAGCCTTGTTGGCACAGTCGTTATGTGTTGGACTAAGTCCGCGGTTCCAAAACACGTCAGCTGCAGCGAGAGAGCCCACAGGGGCCAGTCTAGCCTCTCCTAGAGGGTTGCTATGAGTCGGAATCGATTCGAGGGCGGTGAGTTTTGGTTTGGAAGCGATGTGATACGTTAATTTACCCAACTATCTCCCTCACGCACTCGAGGGCTGATTTGCATATAGAAGAAATCCGCATTCAAGGCTGACAATATTTTGAACTACGGACTATCTTCCGGCCAAGTCGTAGCGACAGCTAACTGGGTTTTGTCCAAAACCCCTCTGGAAAGTCTCTGGGGCTCTCTATTAAGTCGCAGCCTGTGAGCCAGCGTTCGCAGCTCTCCGAGGAGGGTCCCTCTAGGGCCCTGCGGACCCAGCGACCGCGGGGGCGCGTGAAGTCGGACCTCCGGCCTTAAGAGCAGAGCGTCCCGCGCGCGCGCGCCGCGCCGATGTTGGGCCGCGGAGGGACCCACACCGGGCTCTCTGCACCGGAAATGCCGCGGGGGCTCCCCGCAGGACACGGCCCCGGAGCCGACCCCACAGCGGCACGGGACCCCGCCCCGTGGCTCCCTGAAGCCGGCCCCCTGCACCACTACCTGCTGCTCCAGAGCCCCACGGGCGCCGCCATCTTTCCCGGACGGGCTGCGTTTCCGCCGCCGCCGGGTTTCAGCTTCCGTCCGGCCGCCGGCCCCGCCTTTCCCTGGGTTGGCCACGCCCACTGCCGCCTTCCTTAAAGGACCAGAGGGCGGGAGCGCGAAACCGCCTTGTGCCTTTGCCTCACCACGCAAGGTCCACGTCGACACCCAAGACCCCCATCCTTTGATGCACAGCGGAGACAGGCCCCTCTGCACACAACGTAATGCACTCGCTGAAGCCATCCGTGAAGAAGTCCTCACAATCTGGCCTTTACTCGGTCAGTTTTAGCTACTAAGATTTGGCTAACCTTGGGCCCCCAAGTACTTCAGGACGGGCTAGAATTTAAGAGCGAAGTTGTGTGTGTGTGTGTGTGAGAGAGAGAGAGATGGGAGCAGAAAATGTCGGGAAAATAGTAGTAGAAACTTGGTATTTGCAACTTCGCTCTTAAATTCACACACACACAACTTCGCTCTTAAATTCTAGCCCCGTCTCACACACACACACACACACACACACACACACACACACACTCACTCACTTCCAAAAGCCAAACTCACAACTCTTAGCAACCCTAGAGGACAGACATCTCTTTCTTGGGGGACGGTCATTCCTAGATGAAATTTTGAAGAGGAGACATTTTCTTCCACATGTCTGCTTGCCCTTTCAGAAACCTCAACTTTCATGCTGTCTGCCTACTTCCTAAATGTGCTTTTGGAAAACATTCTGACCCTCATGTGAGTCACTCTGTGACCATAAGTGAACGTGTGTGTCTCTTCTGGGAGTTCATGCTTCTCCTTCATCTTCACCTGGGGACAGAATGACATTGCTATTACTTTAGGAATTTCCATCAGAGGGCATTTGGTAGGTATGGAAACAATCCCCTCCTGCCCTTAGAATCACATCTATTGACAGTTTTCCCAGAAGCCCCCAGGGCAGAGATTCTTCCCTTGCTCTAAGGTGCTGCGAAGCATCATGTTTCTTAAGTGGCACTTGCACATGCTCCACCTCCTGAGTTCATAGCTGGGAAAGAACAGATCCTTGCTCATGGGACCAATGAGAATGCGATGACTACAGCTCACTCTCCTGACAGGCCTCTTGGTTCACTGTCTCATGGTCTCTGAGAGAGGGTTGCCAAATACCCAACTGCCATCAAATCGACATTGGTGGCTCCCCCCAGCACTCCATGTGCTCCGTGGGGCTTCCAATGGCGACCTTTTGCAAGTAGGTCACCAGGCTCTTCTCTTTCCAAGGCTTCTCCAGATGAACTTGAATCTCCAATGTTTTGATGATCAGCTGAGTGTCTTCACTATTTTTGCCACCCAGGGGCTCAGAAAGAGATGCAGGCGATCCTACAATGAAAAAGCTGCAACAGTTGCTTCCTGAGACTGTTGGAAGTGGACAGACGAGAGTCCTGTGACTGGTGGGCGGTGGCTCTTACTTCCAAGTCTCTCTTGGTCATGTCCAGATCTTGGCTTCCTTGGACAATCCTGGGTCCCAAAAGGCAAATCTGAGGGCAGATATCTCTTTCACCAGATGAAGGAAGTGCCAGAGCCCAACGTAGCCTGTCTGCAATAAGGGGCTGGTGCTCCTTCCTCTCACCTGTTTGCCTCCAAACCTGAGGTCCCGTCTCACTCCCCTGGATAGACCAGTGCTGGCTATGGTTCCGCTAGGAAGACAGGAACTCCTAGGACAGCTGCTCCACATTAGACCAAATACATTTCCTGCTGATTTGATTAGTTTCCTACCAAGCAATGCATTTATGAAAAGAGGGAGCTTTTGCAGGTCTGTATTTGCACAGGGAGCCAACTTCCTCCAGAGTCTCTCTCTTTCACACACACACACACACACACACACACACACACACACACACTTTCATCCACCCACAAAACCTCAGTCACATTTAGAGTTTGCACAAATGCACACCCTCCCTCATAATTCACAATGCTCCCCCTCTCACCCACCTACACACCTCTTCCATAAAATTGCACCTGCTCCCATACCCATAGAAGCACATTCCTATACTGTACCCAGAGAGAGAAAGATGGGTGGTATAGCCAGTGAGGAGGGTAGGTGGTGAGAGTATGGCAAACACTCTGCAGGAGCTGGGAATGAAACAACAGGACCCGCCAGTGAAGACCCAGAACCCACAGTCCCCCCACGCTCCAGGTTGAGGTCTTAAGAGTTGAGTGGAGTCTGAAGCAAGGGTGGAGGGGACTCCCTGAGGTGTGATGCTCTAGGGGGGAGGGGACAGAGTGTCTCAGCCCTGAAGCTAGGGAGAGTGAGGGTGGCTGGGTGAGTGGGTGGGTGGGGGCGTATCCAGGATGTGAGTGGAGACTGTGGTGGTGCCCATAACATACCCAATTAGTCTAGTTTGGATGGTGGCAAGGGTTCATCCTTGGTCTGAGACTCCTTTTCTGAGCTCAGGAAACCATGCGGAGGGATTGACAGGAGAAAGGAAGTTGAAGGAGGATTTTTTCTAGTGTCAGCCAGTAGCCAAGAGGAGGAGCCTCACTCGCCCTGGAATCTCAGAGTCCTCTCCGGAAGAGGAGAGGAGGGGAGGGGAGGTGGTGTGGCAGAGAGGGCCTTGAGAAGCGACCATCGGCCAAACACAGGGCTGCAGCAGCCACGTTGCCGCAGTAACTGAAGCTCCAGCAACTTTGACCTCAGCCCCAGACTGTTGTCCTGTTCCAGCGCAGTTCAAACTCAGATACTGTGCGTACGGTGCAGTGCCCAAGACAATTGGCGGAACAAGCCGCTAAAGGTCCCTGCCATTCTACTCCGACGGTACTTCTAGGGACCTTCCTCCTGCTGCCGCCTGGGGGCGCCCCCAGCTGAGTCTAAGGCTGCCACCAGCACTGCTGTTATCATTAGTATAATTAATAAACAAGCACTGATGGGGCCAAGAGGAGGATGAGGCAGGCCCCTGCTGCACAGAAGGAGAATCCCTGGAAAGATCCAACGAGGCTGTAGCAACAAGGGACTGAGGGGCTAGTCATCCTTCCTCGCCCTGGTGGGGTGGGCTTCAGGGGCATAGGTACAGACAGGCAAAGGCAAGAGGAAGGAAGCCCTGGATAGGCTGGGCTTGGAACCCGCTCTGCATCTGCCTGACAGGATGTCCGTGGGCAGAGCCACCCCTGTGATTACTAGTTGCAGGGCAGGCCAAGCTCCAAGCGAGGCACGTATTCATTCATTTCACACGCATCTGCCTATGTGTTTACGGAGTTCCCATTGTTCGCAAAGTGACCTACTGACAATGGCTACTATTGTATTGAACATCGTGAGGATATACCCAGCTGTCTATAGCATGTCCTGGGGGAGTGGGGGCAGCCACAGGGGCTCGATTAGGACGACTGGTAGATTCTCAAAAGATCCAGCCTGCGTCGTGTAAAGGGGGCTAATTCGATAAAACTTAGGGATTATGAAAGGTCTTGGAAATTTCAGGGCTTAAGTAGGCCCAAGTTGGAGAAAAGGGTGGCGAGGCTATTGGGGAAAGGGAGGAGGATATTGGAGATGAAGGGGTAGGGGATGGAGCACAAATCAGGGGACCTGGGGCGAGAGGTTCCCTAAAGAGACTGGAAAGGGCACTGAGAGGACCCTGTGTGTGTGTGTGTGGGGCGGGGGGGGGTCCCCAACCATCAACTGCTGCGCCTCTGGGGGCTGGCGGTGCCCTGTCTGCCAGGGGCCGGCTCTGGAGTCTGGGATTCCAGTGTGGCTCGAAGCTGGGGTGCGGTGAAGGCATCCGGCAGGGCTTTAAGGGCCGAGGGTGCAGGGCTGGGTCGGAGGGCAGCCGGGCCACAG